TAGTTCTGGGTAAACCACACGGAGATATGTATGGGTATAAGTCTAGGTACTAGACAAGTGCAAATACAGATATAAGTATGGCTATAGACACGAATTACAAGCAACATTTAAGCAAATGTATACACACGAGCACAAGTAAAGTACAATTGAAAATATGCATTCAGAACTAAAGTACATAGAAACACGCACATCTATATCTAGATACATATGAAGATGTGACTATCGATAAGAATGTCAGCATGGATATAGGTTTGTACTCATGTTTACTTATGTGCACATGAACATAAAAAGGTACACATCTGGTATGAAAAAGATTCATTTTTGTAACAGCAAACAGGGTGCATGTATGCAAGCTGTTTCACCTGAAGACATTTCCGCCTCGGCCGGTGGCTTCCGCCCCCGGCCTCGGCAGGGTTTGAAAAATTGAAAAGCAGTCGGAAGGTCCAAATAAGATCAAACGAAGTCTTGGATCGATTTTTAGGTGAAAAATTTACCGGGAGGGGGAAAGTAAATTGAAGTGAAGAGCCCTCGGAAGGGTTTGTTTAAGTTGAGGTGACGCTTCGAGTCGCTCAAATCCGTATCCGATCCTATAGAAAGAAGTATGTATGTAGACGTCGGCGTAAATGTAAATATACACAAAAGCACAGATATACAAGTATTAATTTTGGTATGGCTGCGCACATATGAAAGTTGTTACATTTTGAATTACTTTCGCCTCGGCCGGTGGCCATCCGTACATCAATCGAACAACGACGCAAAAGGAATGGGCAGGAGCTGTGGGGGACTGGGGCTTGGGAGCTGGCTGGAGCTGCGACTGGGGCTTTGGACGAATGGGAGACGAATAAACCGCAGCCACAGACGTGCGGACGGACGGACGCACGGGCTGCTGGGGCCTGGGGGCTGGGCGCTGGGCCTGCGAAGACTGGGCCCTGGCCTCGAAAGGGCTCGTCCATGCACAGAATCCGTCCGTCCGTATGTGTATCGGCCCGTCCGTCCGTCCATCCGTCCGGCCGTCCTTCCGTCCGTCGCTCCGCTGGACCTTGGGTTTTCGGGTTTCAAGGAGCGGTCGAAACAAATCTGTTTCGGGAATTGTCGTTTTTATTTTTCTGTGCTGTCGTTTTGCTCATGCTAGCGCTTCCATCCTGATCGCCTGAACGAACGAACCATTTGCCTGCTCGTTCGTTCGTCCATCCCTCCCGTTCCGATAGTCCGTCTATCACCCGTTCGTCCGCCCGAATGAACACAGGCGAGGATCACAACTCGCTCCTTGCGTGCATCCGTTGGGGCAGGGCCGGGCTGGGGCTAGAAGGTCCCCGGGCTGGCTGGGGGTTGGGGCTGGACTCACGTTCGTGTCCCCGATGGGCTGGCTCCGTCAATACGTCCGTCCGTCCGATCGTTCGATCTGGGTGGCGTCGCCATATCCGTCCGTCCGTCCGATTTCCGTCCGCCCATCCGTCCATCAGTCAATAACGACGCAAAAGGAATGGGCAGGGGCTGTGGCGGGCTGGAGCTTGGGAGCTGGCTGGAGCTCTGGGGGACGAATAAACCGATGCAGCGATAGACGGAGAGACAGACAGACGTGCGGACGGACGGACGCACACGGGGGTTTGGGTCCTGGGGCCTGGGCGCTGGAGCTGGCGCGGGGGTTTGGGTCCTGGGGCCTGGGCCTGCGAAGACTGGGCCCTGGCTCCGGAAGGGCTCGTCCATGTCCGTGCATCCGTTCGTCCGTGCGTCCGTCGGACCGTCCGTTCCGGCCGTCTATCCGTCCGTCCTTCCGCCCGTCGTTCCGCTGGACCTTGGTTTTTTTTCCGTCCGTTCGTGCCGTCCGTCCATTCGTTCGTCTGGTTGAACGAATGCGGGCGAGGTTCGCACGGCAACGAACGGTTTAGAAGAATGGGCCGGGCCGTCGGTCCACGTCCAACCAAGCGTTGAGCAATTTTAAGTTTAGGCTTCGCGGGCTCGACGTGGGAGTTGTGGTGATTTGGGTCTCGGATTTTGCTTGCAATTGAACGAAATCACGAAAACAAGTTTGTTTCGGCAATTGTCGTTTTTATTTTCATATCGCGTCGCTATGTTTGTGGCTCATGCGTCCGTCCGTCCCTCCTGACCTGGTCCGTCCGTCCGTCCGGCGCCCAGTCGTGGGTCCGCCCGAACGAACGCGGGCAAGATTCGCCTCAACGAACGCATTAGAGGAATCGGCCGGAGCCCCTTGTTTTCCCATGAGGGTTGACCGGGGCGCCAGCTGCGCTGGCGGACCCTAAACCCTAAACTTTTAGGGGCTGCGCCCTTGTGCGCCAGCGCAGCATTTTGTGGTTTTCACTATCAGAAGCAACGCCGATAGAACTTCAAGCCCGTTTACTTAAACCCTTAATCAACCAGCACCAGCCAAGGAAAACTAATTGGATTTTAGTGTGTGTAAATACGGAGGACCAATTGGTTGGGCTTTCGCAGGGAAGGACGAAGGCTGTCCTTGGGAGGATTTCGGGTTTTCGACAGTTTCAATGCTGGCAAGCCTTTCCTCAGGCTGGGGGGCTGGGGTTCGAGGGGCTGGCTGCGGCTGGGGTGGTGGGACGGCTGGGCTGGGGGGCCTGGGGCTGGGCAGAAGCTGGCTCGGAGCGAAAGATTTGAAAACATCCCATTTGACGAAGTTCCACCTCCAACCATCCGGGGCCAATTTATGCTTCCCCCAGGGCACCAAAATTGCTAAACAAGGGCTTTTTGGCCTATTTTACGGATTTTTGGAAATCGCCAAATGGCAAATTTTCGTGATTTTGAACCAATTTCGGCTTTCCCAAGGGCTGCCAAAATGGCCAAGAGATAAGGGCTTTATTTCGGAAATCGCCAAGTGGCCAATTTTCGTGATGTTCAGCCAATTTGGGCTTTCCCAAGGGCTGGCAAAATGGCCAAAAGAAGGGCTCTTTGGCTTATTTTGCAGATTTGGGAAATCGCAAAATGGTCAATTTTCGTGTTTTTGAACCAATTTGGGCTTTCCCGCGGGCTACCAAAATGACCAAAATAAGTGCTTTTTAGCATATTTTTCGGATTTAGGAAATCGCCAAATGGCAAATTTCAGCCAATTTGGGCCTGCCCAAGGGCTGCCAAAATTGCAAAAATAATTGTTTTTTGGCTTATTTTGCGGATTTGGGAAATCGCCAAATGGCAAATTTTCGTGATTTTGCGCCAATTTGGGCTTTCCCAAGGGCTGCCAAAACGGCAAAAAAATGCTTTTCGGCCTATTTTGCGGATTTGGGAAATCGCCAAATTGCAAATTTTCGTGATTTTCAACAAATTTGGGCTTTCCCAAGGGCTGGCAAAAAGGCAAAAAAAAACAGCTTTTTGACTTATTTTGCGGATGTGGGAAATCGCCAAATGGCAAATTTTCGTGATGTTCAACCAATTTGGGCCTGCCCAAGGGCTGCCAAAATTGTCAAAATAAGTGTTTTTTGGCTTATTTTGCGGATTTGGGAAATCGCCAAATGGCTAATTTTCGTGATTTTGCGCCAATTTGGGCTTTCCCAAGGGCTGCCAAAATTGCCAAAAAAGGGTTTTTTGGCCTATTTTGCGGTTTTGGGAAATCGCAAAATAACAAATTTTCGTTCCAAAAACCTACCAAAATGGCCAAAATAAGGGCTTTTTTGCTTATCCTGCTGATTTGGAAAATCGCCAAATGGCCAATTCTCGCGATTTTTCAATCAATTTGGTTGGGCTTTCCCAAGGGCTGCCAAAATGGCAAAAATAAGTGCTTTTTTGCGTATTGCGCGGATTTGGGAAATCGCCAAATGGCAAATTTTCGTGATTTTGAGCCAATTTGTGCTTTCCCAAAACCTACCAAAATGGCCAAATCGAATATCACTTCGGAGGCGAAGCCAGCTTGAAGTTATCGGGTAAACCAAAGCCAATGTTTATTGCAAGCAGGAGCATTTGCAACCTTTGCGATTCCGCCATCAGACGAAAAGTTTCAAAACTAGGGACCAGGGCAGCCCCTTTAAGAGGGAGTTGTCCTGGGCGCCACGCTGCGCTGGCGAACCCGAAACCCTACGGTTTAGGGTTTATTGACATTATTTAGGGTTTGGGGTGCGGAAACTCCTCGCACCGGGCCGCCCCTCCTCTTCTTGTAATGAAAGGGCCCGGTTGGCCGGTGGAAAAACTCGCGTTTGGCCACCGGCCAACCGTTCTTTCTTGTTGTCCAATTGGGCAGGTTGGCCGGTGACAGACGGTGACAGAGAGTTTTTTTTTTTGATCCATGTTTTGAGTTTGGTTGTCGAATTGGTCAGGTTGGCCGGTGACAGAGAGTTTTGGAGCCTGGATTCGGGACTGGGCCTGGATTTGGGGTCTGGGACTGGGCCTGGATTTGGGGTCTGGAGCCTGGATTTGGGCCTGGGGCTTGGATTTGGGGTCTGGAGCTTGGATTTGGGGCCTGTTTGGGACTGGCCTGGATTTGTGGTTTGGAGTTTGGATTTGGGACTGGGCCTGGACTTGGGGTCTGGAGCATTTTGGGACTGGGCCTAGGGTCTGGAGCCTGGATTTGGGTCTGGATTTGGGACCTGGGGCCTGGATTTGGGACTGGACGTGGATTTGGGGTTGGATTTGGGGCCTCGTCTGGGCCTTGGGGCCTGGATTTGGGGTCTGGGAAGGTGGGCCTGGGTTGGAGGTTATGGAGAGATATTGGATAATTCTGTTGATTTTTCGTGCAAGAATGTCAGGATTTCCGGCTTAGGCTTGGGGGCATAAGCAGTGCTTCATGAACATGTCAAAGCTTTCTTGTGGCTGATTTGGAGTCGCTTGCGGCATGCAGACAAATCTAGCCGAATCTCGGATTGCAGTTCCATTTACGAACCAAGCTTGGCACGGACGCAATGCGGCATACACTCTTTTCTTCCCGTCCAAAGCGGTGCTTGTGCGTCTGTACAGCTGCTCCACCAGTCTGTAAAGGAGTGTACGCTTTCGAATTCGCTCAACTCGTCTGCACCATGAGTCAAGCGTGCCGAGAGCTCGGGTTTCTAGTCCCATAGAGGGATCATTGCATAGGTGCGGTACATTGTGAAACTGAATGGCAGGTTCTCGATCAAGACAGGCTTTGGTTGGAAAACGTCTAGCAAGTAAATCCTACCTTCAAAAGATCTCAGCGCGGCCCAGTACTCCTTGTGGTTTCTCCCTCGCGTTCCACGGATCTGTAGCAGTGCCTTGGCTGTTGTTGGCCATTTGTCGTCGTTGCGCAGGAGTTGCAGCTTCAAGCCTATCCTCGCCAGCATGTTGCTGATGTACAGTGGAGAGAATATCACTTGATCATACGACAGCATGTGCTGGTACCAGTCGTAGCCGCGCTCCGTCAACAGGCTTGAGGTCTCCGATGCATCAATAAGAAATTCCGTCTTCCCAAGAGCATTATTGATGGAAGCCTCTGCGCTTAGGAGCTGCTGCGTTTGGAAATCCACGCGATCTTCGAGGCCTTCGAAGTACAAGCTATCGCCGGCGTCAGTCAAGAAGCACCACCTCGGCTGGTGTCGATATGCGATTCCCGTGGATAGAGGTACCATGGTGCCAGCCTGCAATAAGCCCTCCTCCATTGCCCACTTTAAGCTTGCGTCGTAGAAAGGAGGTCCTGCTGCCATGGAATTCAAACATTTCGCCTTCAAGGCACGCCGGACTTTCCACCATGCGCGGCGTTTACCCCGCACAATTGCAGGCTTGCCACTCCAGTATGTGCATCTTTTGCAGTTCGTTTTGATGTTGGCAAAGGGCTCCTGCTTGCGATACTGCAAATAGATCCAATGCTGGCGCCAACCTTGGCTGTCTCTGCAAGCAGCGTCTCGCAGATATTTGCGACTGCCTTCACTGATTCTTGGGCTGGCAGCAGGGATCGGCTTGCCCTTCAAGAAATGTCTCTAGCGTTGCTTCTTCTTGTGTAGCCAACTGCTCCGCTTCTCCAACTTGCTCTCTTCTCCCGCTTTTGTGCGAAGCAAGTGCTGCTCGCTGACAGATAGCGCACAGAGCGAGCCCAGTTCAAAGGCAGCTTCGTACACCGGCGATTTGACGCATCGCCAATGCTTCAGGAGCCTTTGCAAGTTCCCTTTGCCCACACGGGAAGAGAGCGTCCGGTGCAAAGCTTCAACACAGCACAGCACACAACGCTTTCCGGTCGGCTGGGCAGGGCCGCCGAATCCGTCCCGGGCAAACAGACATGCTCTGGCTTCGCCGCCTGCAGGATCCTCGAAGCCAGCGCAATATTTCGGCATGGTGGCAGAAGTGCGAAACAATGTCTAGAGTCTAGGCCTAGGTATTCTCTGCGGTCTGGTTAGCTTGCTTTTCGCATGGATGTTCGCCTGTAACCTTTGAGCTCTCACCTAGCTCGAGCAACGCGCCTGCGGCATGGGTGGGAATATTCAGGCTAAGAAGCACCTTTCGATTGCGGCCAAGCTGGAACACTCGATCCTATAGGCTTCGAGCGGCACTAAAGAAGGTTGATCCTAGGGGCTTCTTGAAGGGCTCAAAACGAGGCTGATCCTAAGGGCTCCAAAGAGGGTTGATCCTAAGGGCTTCGAGGGGCTCCAAGAAGGGTTGAGCTTAAGGGTTGCGAGGATCTCTAAAGAAGGTTGATCCTAAGGGCTTCTCGAGAGGCACTAGAAAAGGTTGATCCTAAGGGCTTCTCGAGAGGCTCTAAAGAAGAATGACCCCAAGGGCTTTCTCGAGAGGCTTTAAAGAAGGTTGATCCTAAGGGCTTGTCGAGAGGCTCTAAAGAAGGTTGATCCTAAGGGCTCCTCGAAAGGATCTAAAGAAGGTTGTTCCTAAGGGCTTCTCGAGAGACTCTAAAGAGGGTTGATCCTAAAGGCTTGTCGAGAGGCTCTAAAGAAGTTTGATCCTAAGGGCTTCTCGAGAGGCAGTAAAGAAGGTTGATCCTAAATGCTTCTTGAAGAGCTCTAAAAAAGGTTGATCCTAAGGGCTTCTCGAGAGGCTCTAAAGAAGGTTGATCCTAAGGGCTCCTCGAAAGGCTCTAAAGAAGGTTGTTCCTAAGGGCTTCTCGAGAGACTCTAAAGAGGGTTGATCCTGAAGGCTTGTCGAGAGGCTCTAAAGAAGTTTGATCCTAAGGGCTTCTCGAGAGGCAGTAAAGAAGGTTGATCCTAAATGCTTCTTGAAGAGCTCTAAAAAAGGTTGATCCTAAGGGCTTCTCGAGAGGCTCTAAAGAAGGTTGATCCTAAGGGCTCCTCGAAAGGCTCTAAAGAAGGTTGTTCCTAAGGGCTTCTCGAGAGACTCTAAAGAGGGTTGATCCTAAGGGCATTTCGAGGGGCTCTAAAGAAGGTTGATCCTAAGGGCTTCTCGAGAGGCTCTAAAGAACGTTGATCCTAACGTCTCGATCCACACCCTCGAACACGGTGCAGGCGCTCTTCCACCTTCTTAGTACTGCCGTCAGCTCGTTGCCTTCTGCGTCGCCGTTGCCGTTGTTCCGGGACGGCGTGATGTCGATCGCGGAGAAGCGCCTCTTCTTCTGTACCTGCATGTCCTGAGAGAGGGCCATGGCTGTCGGTATTGCACGGCGCGTTAGAGGTGCGGATGGCTAGGGCTGGCACCTGAGCGAGGTTGAGGAGTTTGGCGCTGCGGTTGGTTGCGCATCGCTGATGCTACATGCACGCTGGGCGTACGTACACTCTCAGCACACATGTCGTCGGACTGTATACTAACGAACAACTCAGGAACTGCTGTGCGCCCGTTTTCCGTCCATCCGGATCCTAATGGCTTCTCGAGAGGCTCTAAAGAAGGTTGATCCTAAGGGCTTCTCGAGAGACTCTAAAGAAGGTTGATCCTAAGGACTTCTCGAGAGGCTCTAAAGAAGGTTGATCCTAAGGGCTTCTCGAGAGGCTCTAAAGAATGTTGATCCTAAGGTCTTCTCGAGACGCTCTAAAGAAGGTTGATCCTAAGGGCTTCTCGAGAGGTTCAGAAGAAGGTTGATCCCAAGGTCTTCTCGAGACGCTCTAAAGAAGGTTGATCCTAAGGGCTTCTCGAGAGGCTCTAAAGAAGGTTGATCCTAAGGGCTTCTCGAGAGGCTTTAAAGAAGGTTGATCCTAAAGGCTTGCGGAGAGGCTCTAAAGAAGGTTGATCCTAAGGGCTTGTCGAGAGGCTCTAAAGGAGGTTGATCCTAAAGGCTTGCGGAGAGGCGAAGGTTGATCCTAAGGGCTTGTCGAGAGGCTCTAAAGGAGGTTGATCCTAAGGGCTTCTCGAGAGGCTCTACAGAAGCTGATCCTAAGGGTTTTTGGAGAGGCTCTGGGCTTCTCGAGAGAGGCATTAAGGAAGGCTCCCTGGCCCGGATCTTGCTCTGCTCTGCCAAGGCCAGCCCTAGGCCAGCTTTTGGGTGCACCAACAAAAAAGGTTTAGCTGGGCAGCCCCTAAGCTCTGCCTAGGCCACCCCTAGGCTCTGCCAGGCTTTGCGCCAGCCCGGGCCAACGCCTTGGCTCTGCCGGCCAGCCCCTAGGCTCTGCCATGGGCTCTGCCGGCCCGGAAGGTTCGGTAAGCGTTTGGTGGGCCTAGCCCCCTACACTCTGCCTAACCCCAGGCTCTGCAAAATAGGCCAAAAAGCCCTTATTTTGGCTAGTCTGGCAGCCCTTGGGAAAGCCCAAATTGATTCAAAATCACGAAAATTGGCCATTTGGCGATTTCCAAAATCCGCAAAATAGGCCAAAAAGCCCTTATTTTGGCCATTTTGGCAACCCGTTTCATTCTTCCGAAAAAGGATGAACAAAACAAGTAATGTCAATTTATAACATTCTTGAGGGTTTAGGGTTTAGGGTTTAGGGTTTAGGGTTTAGGGTTTAGGATTTAGGATTTAGGGTCTAGGGTTTAGGGTTTAGGGTTTAGGGTTTAGGGTTTAGGGTTTAGGGTTTAGGGTTTAGGGTTTAGGGTTTAGGGTTTAGGGTTTAGGGTTCGACAGCGTAGCGGTCGCCCTGGTCAACTTGAGGGTGCACTTCTTTCATAGGGGGCTGCTTCTTGGCCCGTAAAACCCATCGCCTAGGGTTTTCCTATGGCCCAAACCCGCGGCCCAACCAAACCCGTGGCCGCAGTCCCTGCCCGAAACTCTCCCGCACCCCTCCGCGCGCCCCACGCTGCACCCGCCGCGCGTGCACCCCTTGCGCCTGCCCGACCCGCGCCCCCACCGTGCCCGCGCCCCGCGCCCGCGCCCGCGCCCCGTTCCCGCGCCCGCGCTCGCGTCCGCGCCCGCACGCTCGCCCGGGCTGGAACTCATTTTAAAATCCATGTCCGCAGCCTGCCGCGCTGCCCGCCCATGCAGCCCCTGCGCCCGGCCGCCCGCACCACGCCCCTGCGCCCTGCCCCCCCACACCCCGTCCTCGCTTCTGGCCCCGCGCCCCGCGCCCCCCCCGCGCCCCGCACCCCCCCCCCCCCGCGCCCCGCGCCCCACGCCCCGCGCCACGCGCGGTGTGGCCGCACATGTGCCCCCCACACCCCCCGCTCCAGCGCAGGCCCCGCGCCCACCCGTGCCCCGCTCCCTGCACCCCCCCCGCGCCCCGCGCCCCGCGCCCCCACGGCCTCCCCCCGCACCCGCCCTAAACCCTAAACCCTAGCACCCTAAACCCTAAACCGTCGACTAAGGCGCCGAACCTCAACCCAAGGCCCCAAACCCTCAACCCTGGGGCCGGAAACCCTAAACCCAGCACCCTAACCTAAACCCTCCGCCCCGAAACCCTAAACCCAACACCCCAAACCGCAATCCTAGGGCCTTAAACCCATAAACCCTCGGCCCCGAAACCCTAAACCCCTAAACCCTAAACCCTCGGCCCCGAAACCCTAACTAAGGCCCCAGACCTTCAACCCTGGAGCCCCCTAGTACCCTAAACCCTAAACCCTCGTAAACCCTAAACCCTCGGCCCCGAAACCCTACCCACCCGCCCCGCCCCGCCCCGCCCCGCCCCGGCCCCGTGCCCGCGCCCACGCCCGCGCACACGCCCATGCCCGCTCGCGCACGTGCCCGCATTCGCTCCCGCACCTGCGCCCGCGCCCACGCCCACGCCCGCGCCCGTGCCCCTGCCCGCGCCCGCGCCCGCGCCGCGCCCGCACCCGCGCCCAAGCCCGCCGCGCCCACACTGCGCCGCTCACCCACCCGCGCCCCGCAACGCGCCACGCCCGCACCCGCACCCGCGCTCGTTCGCGCCCTGAAACCCTCTGCGCCCAGACTTTGTATAAGCCCTGAAGCCTCTCGCCCGAAGCCCTCTGCGCCCTGGAACCCTCTGCCCTGCATGGAACCCTCTTTCATGTCCGGGACTCATTCGACTGCTTGTCCAAGCTTTTTGCCACATCCGTCGGCGATGCTATGGCACGACAGGGCCGGTCCTGTTGGTGGTGTTTCCTGTGTCTGGTGCAAGCCGCTTTCTGTCGGGGGCTTGCCACTTCGATTTATCTGAGTCCGGCTGGGAGGCCCATGGCCAATTGAAGGCATTTTGCATCCACGTCCTGGTCCTATTCTATGCGACCACACGGGCACCGGTTTCCGGCTTTTGCGAGAATGTTGTTGCATGCCCACTCTCTCGTCTTCGGTCTGGACGAGTACGATGTTTTGGCTAAAAGCAAGACTCCCTGAGCAAAAGAACTGCGGATGAATGCGGTCAACTCACGCGCTGCTTCTGCTACCTCGCAGTACGTACGCCGAGCTCGTCTCAGTGGCCCCAGCAGTTTTTCACTCGTCGGGCTGGCGATGGCTTTGCGTGTCCGCTGGTCGCGGTGGTCGCTGCCTGTGTTTGCAGTCCTTACACAATCCCTTCTCTTTTGCTTGGAACTTCTTGCTGCACTGCCTGTTGGTGCAGGTTTGCCATCCGGGCTGCCAGGTGCTGCGGCTGGAGCAGTTCAGGCAGTGGTCTCCAGTGGCGTTGCCCGCGGCTTTGTGCGGGAAGCTCTCTTTGCAGGCTCTGCAGGAGAACCAGCCCGTGCGCAGGCGCTTTTTGTCCGAGAGCTGTTGTTGACAGGCGACGCAAGCGAGGGAGCTGTCTGGCATGGTTCGCATCGCGGGCGAGAAGTCCTTGGCCGATTTTCGCTCGCCGCAGACCGTGCAGTTCAGCTGGGTCGTGCTGAGGCGGCACGCGGAGCACTGGCGCTTGGTGTCGGCATCCTTCTGCACCAATTGGGCCCTCGGGAAAGCCTCCTCGATTTTCGTGATGTGGCAGAGGTTGCACTTGACGCTCTTGTCCAGGCTCGCTTGGGTGTTGACGTTTCGCTTGAGCGGGCCCTTCTTCGTGTT